GGCCACTGTTCAGATGTAATAAGCCCCAAAATTTAATTTAATTTTTAAAAAAAAATTTAAAAAACAAAAACAATAATAGTTCCTTGATCTGTGATACCCGTTGCAGGCACACAAGATTCGATTTGTTGAAATTCAAATTCTATATTTACTATGTTGAAAAAAAGGAAGTAAAGATATAGCCCTACAACGTAGGTACAATAAATTGTGAAAAGAATTAAACCGTTTTCTCTCTCTCTCTCTCTCTCTCTCTCTCTCTCTCTCTCTCTCCCCTGAAAGATGTTGCTTTCTGGGCTTAGAGCATTAAATATGAGGCAGCGTGGTGAAGCAGATGCTCGTCAAAGTAATGTAATTTAGAAAACCAGCATTTTTCTGGCTGTTGTGCAATTTTTTTAAGGGTTTTTTTTCAATCAATACCTTCTATGCCCATTTAACCCTATACGTACGATGTGTTTTACTACCGTATCCATACGACGTGGGGAACTCTGTGCCATCACTTTCAAAGAGACAATTTTCTCGTTAATCCGACAGTACGCTTTGCATAGCAGTCTGTCAAAACGATTTTTTGAGAAATACTGAACGTTTCAAAGAGATCTCCATACTAGAAGAATACAACCCCGGGTGTACAAAATGACCCCAGGGCGAACGGATTTCATTGCGGATTTTACCGAAAAACGTTGATCAAAAGCACAAAAAATGTAAGTTTGGCGTTTTCAAAGACACCCAAGCTTTGGAAGCCTTAAGCTTTGGCAGTCATTTTTCTCTCTAATTTTACATCTTGACACCATGCATCCCCCACATCCTTCAACTGAAAACATCTCGACTTCTATCCATATAGACGTGGGGGTTTTTTTCCCCCAAAAAGCCAGACAAATGAACAAGCTTTAAGATGATACTTATAATTCGTAATGCCCGAAAATTGAAGAGCGCCTGATTCCACTGCACAGTGACTCATTTAGACGGCCAATATAGTTACTAATACAGGTCTGTTTTTGGTTGACGGGTTCTCTGGTATGGTTTTCTCCTATTTTACGCCAAAACAAACAACTGTCTATCTTTTCTTTTCGTAGGTGGTTGGCGGGTGTTCTGGTATGGTTTGCAAGTTCGGGCTTCTTACCCAGCCTCCCTGGACAAAACCAGGCCTGAGAGAGATACACAAAATTCTAGCAGAGAGACCGAGATACTCAATTAAAAAAATCCCCCCCCCTTCCTCGTACTCGGGAATCGAACTCGGGTCTCCTGCGTACGACAGCGAAGCCCCTAATCACTACACCACTGACGCCTGATGTTCCACATGGTAGTTTGTTTGTTAGTTCGAGTAGAGAGAAGCATTTCGACACAATAAGGCTCATTTAGTGCTGGGAAAAAGTATAACAAATTATTATACAGACAGAAACAATAGAGGGAACGTTAAGAAGCAGGGTCTACCAAGGGCGCCCTCCAAACACCTGCCCCGGGGCTGAGAGATACATAACATTCCAGCAGAAAGATCGAGATACTCAAAAAAGAATTCCCCCCACCCCCTCCCCATACTCGAGAATTGAATTTGGGTCTGAATCGTGCGACAGCGAAGCACCTAACCACTACAATGGGCTACCAGATTCGTAATCGTCAGGTTGCGGTTCGGGGGTTCGAGCCACGGGCCCGACGTTGTGTCCTAGGGAAAGGCACTTTACACGAATTTTCCTCACTTCACCAAGGTGGGATGGGTACCCAGCTAGACGGTTAGTGTAAGAACGTATATGTACCCAGCCATAGACAGCGATAGATCTTGTCAGTATGTTAGTGTTTTAGCGCCTACAAATGGCTGCGTGCACTGTATGTTTCCAGGGAAGTTGAGTTTGTTTCAGAATACTCTCAGGTCTACTGGGGTAATAGTATAGGTTGTGAAACGCATAGAGCTTGCTGTTGAGCGGGGATTTGCGCTATAAAATTAAATGCCATTCAGAGAGGCGCTCTATGTATGTTGGACGCGTTTGGAAATATGCTCAATTACATCAGCTGTACTCAGCGTCTGAGCGTTATCAGTTACAGAATCGCATACTGAACATGGATTTATGATTTCTAAAGCAAACTGCTACGCTTTCTGACAGGTGACATGGGAGCTGTAGTGAAAAGGGAAATTGCAATATACAGAAACGTTACATATATACTGGGATTAGTTTACAAAAAATCTACTGCGTTATGAGGTGTTTGCTCGGAATGAGCTAATTGCGACCGAAACAAATAATCTTTTTTCTTTCTTTCTTTTTGTTTGTGGTTTTGAATTACCTCAAAAACAAAAACAAAACAAATCAAAACAAAACAAAACAAAACATAAAAAACAAAAAACACTCAACACCCCTCCTCCCGAACCCCCCTCCCAACCCCCCT